TAATAACATTTGTAAAGTTATTTATTAATGTATTTGGTAACTTAGCACTTTGCTGATATAACTGATGATCAATTTGACTTTCATACATATTGTTTGCGTAAAGTCACTCTTCGTGCATATTTCAGGTTTGTGTGTAGATGTATGTTTTTTCTTAAACAAACAAGATAATTTATCTTCCTAACACTTAATTTTAATATATATTTAATAAAATAAAAGTATTTTACGTTTGGAGGATCAATTACGTTCTCATCCTTATTACTTTCATTCTGCACAAAATGCTATAAAGGTAGATAAATAATAATTTTTTTATTTTTCAATTTTAGATTTCATCATCTCTCTCTTTTTTTCATTTATTTATCATTTATTAAACATTTAGATATATCTTAAATTATATGATAGCCCAAACATTGCCTCTTCTAGTGACAATAATATTGACTATGGTATGTTTTATTGTTAAAACTACATTCACATTATTATTATTATTATTATTATAATTTTCTTTTTTTGGATTAGCTTTAAATAATGATTTGACCTTTGTTTAAATAAAAAAATAAAAAAATAAAAAAATTAGCCAATATGACTGAAGGTGAAATCAAAAAAGCAAAGAATAAGGCCAAAAAAGCCGCAATAAAAGCACAACAGGAAGCTGAAACAAAAAAAGGTTAGTTCTTTTTTACCTCTTAAAAAAAAAAACTAGAAAATTAAAATTTATCATCATCATCATTAATAATAATTATGATTTCAGCCCTGGCAAAAGAAGAACAAAGCAAAAAAAAGATTGAGAAACCACAAGATGATGATCCAGAGGGTGTGAAGTTTCTTAAGGTTTTGTCTGTTTATTGATTGAATTGTTGATCAATTTAGTATTGTTATTCTTACTTAATTTTCTTAAAGACTGAAAATCCCTTAGGAGAAGCCTTCAAATTCCTTATACCATTACAAGAACTATCACAAAAAAGGATAGAGACACATTTATTGGCATTTGAAATTTATATAAGAAAAGGTTTTATTAATTGGACTAATTCATGAAGAATAAAAAATTTGAATATTTATTTATTTTAAAATACTCTTTTTTTAATTCTTATAGATAAATACTTGTTAGCTTTAAGATCTCTTATACGAGCACATAATATTGATAAGGAAAATTCTTATTTGCATAAGAATATAGTATTGTTTAATTCAAAATGTAAGGATTATTATTTTTATTTTCCATCCAAATTGAAACATCTAACATAGATTTTGTGTATAAACAGTATCAAACAATACAAAAATCAATGAAACAACAATGAAAGTTATTGAGGCAGAAAAATCAAGAATATTGCCAGATAATAGTGTTTCATTAATTCAATTTAATAATGAATTTTTGAAAAAAAATAAAGGATCAATAGGACATTTATTAGCAGGAGTAGAGTCATTATTAATTATAAATCCTG